TTCACAACGAGGAAGCTCAGGGCTTATGTTTTATTCGCCACTACTGATGCTTTTTCAGAAAACTATGGTGCTGCTTTTGGATGAAAATAATTCTTGGATGGTTCCAAATTCTAAAACAATTAATCCTTTTATATAATTCAAATATCAATTTATCTCTCTCATGTTTTACATTTTATAACTCTACTGCCGCCGCCGCCCCCAGTCGCCACCTCCACTCATCCTCAAACTCCGCTACCCCAACCACCTTGTCCATTGTTACTCATCATGTCACCTTCACAGCTCTACTCTTCCATTGCCACCATTGCACCAATCCCATCTTACATCTTAATCGCAGAAAACAACCACTATGATTCCATGTTCTGTCCTCATTACTGCCACATCCATTTTCGTGCGCACCACAACCATCATTACCAACTGTTATCTTTACCGATCACCAAGAAATTTTCACCGATTGCAATGATTATATGACAGTAGAAGATTTTTATCAGAAGAAAGAAACTGCAAATTACATGTTCTAAATAAAGGAATCTCGAAAGTATGCCCTTTTATAAGCTGAAGGAAAATAATCACGCATCCCAGTACTATAAGAGAAAGAAGAAACTGCCTTGATTCATATTGGTTACAACGGATTTTTCTCTATGCATCTTAGAAGGAAAATCTCATGCTACAACCTCTACCTCCACACCCTAGTAAAAGAAAATGTTTCTTCGTAGCAGTTCTTCTGTTACTTCTAAACACATTATCCAGCATTGATGCCGTTGCTAAGTGATAAATCCTCTGTATGTTGCAGGGAAGAATGCAAAAGCAGATGCCTCTGGTCAGCTTATGTTTCTGGCTCTCACGATTAGGTGATTAGTCAGCTAGTGAAGCACAAATTGGCTGCCATATGTGGTTTCCCCCGATATGGACACACCATTGAAAGGAAATCAAGTTGAAGGAGGTCCTAGTTGGGTTTCCATCTAGAAGACAACAAATGCACGAATTTCTTGATTGAGAGAGAGCATAGAAACAACATAAATAGAATACATTATTGGCAGAATAAGCTAGCCAACCTTGCCAGTAAGTCCTCTCTCCCACAAGCACAGGCCTTCAATAATCCTGTTCATGAACTATTTTATCCTCATCTAACCCTTATTTGATTCCCAATTAAACATCTCACTGCCAATGATTTTCAGGGGATCTCCCATTATCAGTTCTTAATCAATCCCCAAGTTTCATCCTCAAGAACATTAACCGAAATCGTCTACTGTTAGAGGATGATGTCAGGCACCACATACCTTTCAGATGGGACTTCCAGATCATCAAATATCCAGGGACGATCATCAAAGATCCAGGGACGATCATCAAAGTAACCATACAGCAAACAGTTGAACGTTTACATACAGAAGTTATGCAAAAAGAGCAATTCCATATAAGTATCTGTCATCATCAACTATCAGTAGGTTTGAGTCTCAACACGGCAACACCCTCCACTTTCCTCTATTTCACTATCCAAGGCCAGAGTCAAAATCAGTCGAAAGAAATTGACACTGCAGACCTCATGGCATTTCATCCCAGTCAAGAAGCCTCGATTTTGAGATTTAGTGGTGGAGACCATCTCCATGAGCTACCTATTAATGTAATCTGGCAAGGCAGAATCTGATTCTTATGTTTCTCTCATTCTATTTATGTATCAAACCAAGACCAAACCCCCAATTCGATTGCTTTCTCCAACCTTTCTTCTGCCTTGACCGCACAGTGACAAAGAAGACTACGAAACATAAAGTGAAGCAGAAAAAGTTACTATGAAATAAATCATAATATAAATCGTAATTCTTTTTTTTGTAAGAATGAAAATAACATCAATTGAAAAAAAGTGATTGGTAGGTAATGATGAAGAGTATTGAAGCCAAGTTTACTATTAAAGGTTTGATAACATAGATTAAGTTATAAACAATATTAATAGTGAAAATAAATTATCCAATTGCTGAGTACTTAAAGGATGATATTATTGTTTGTAAATTATATCAAAATTACAAAAACAGCAATCATCTTCTTTCTATAAAAATCAAAATCCAAGCTATTCATAAAGAAATTGCTAGTTTTCTTGCAATGTAAACACAATAAAATAAACTATGTAATGATAATAAATCCAAGTCATTGTTGTCTTTATTTTTGGGACATGTTAAATAGCTTTCACAAAAATATTTTTGGATTTTTTGTTTTGTGTTAAAGAAGTTGAAGGTTGAAAATTTTATCAACATTTGTGTATTAGATGAAATTAAATGTGTGAAGCAAGATATAAAAATTGACCATGTTTTTTATTTCACATTACTATATATACAGTTTATGTAGCCATTATAAAACGTTTTTTAAAGCCCTTTTGATTTCAAGTTTTACAACATTCACCAAGAAAGTAACCATATCTGTTGCAATTGTTTAAATAATATATACAAATATATAATTGTAATGGTTTCTTCTTTATCTAAGTATTTATTGTATGCACATAATAATTATGTTTTTTTTAATATCATATTCTTGTTAATATACATATATCATTTACTAATTCATTGGTTTTAATGAAAATTATTAATATTGATACCTAAATTAGCCAAGGAATGATTTTTTTTTGTTTTAAGAGTTGTATTCAATGTTAAAATTAGCATGTAAAGAAGAGAAAAAGAACTCATGAATTACAGGCTGTGAAATGAAGAGAAATAAGTAAATGAAAAATAAGAAAAGACAAATAGAATTAGAAAATAAATAACAAATAAAAGGCATGTTGGATAAACTGGATAATGATTTATAAGAATATGAGGTTAAAATTCAAACCTTTGAGGATGATGAGGATGTTGCCCGTTGTTTTTTCAAAAGTGGAAGTGAGTGATCAAATGTCTTAAATGTAGCTATGTTTCCAAGGTTTTCTTAGGCTTCAATTACTTTGCCATGCTCATCTTCATGACTATTATAATAAAAGGAGTTAAAGAGATGCATGGCAAAAGAATCATAAGTTAAGAACCATGTAATTTGCATGTGTCAAGGAAAAAAAAGTGTAAAGAAAATGTGAGGAAATGTAAACTTGCCTAAGTTGTTGTGTTGTAGCTTCAAAATCAAGTGCATGTCGTGCTCCACATTTGATGCGTGTTTTCTTGTTTGGTGATATGTTTTGAGGTGGTGTCTCCAAGGAATCAAGAGCAATCCTAAGTTGTGTGACAGTATTTTGTGGAGTTGATGGAGATATAAGAACATGTTTTATAAAGCTTAATGGAGTAGATGTCTTAGATGTAGTAGATGATTTAACTTCTATAGTTGGTGTTTCTAGAGGATAGATGCTCTTATTTGTGGTGTCATCAAAGATATTAATAATGATAATCTCACATCTGTTAGTGGTGGATTTGAAAGCACTAAATCGAAGCTGAAAAATCATGCTTTTTTTTTTTTAACTTTGCTGTCATGGTGGGAGGAATAACTGAGGGATCTATAAATTTTTTATAATAGACATAATGGTGGGTTGATGATCCAAAAAAGGTCTCAGCAATTTTTCTAAATAGAAGAAAATTAGTGACATCTTCTCCATCGGTAACAATACATTATAAGCGAAACCTATGATATAAAATTGATGACATGTTCATTAATAAGAAGTGTATGATAATGTATATAAGGAACATAATTTTTTTATTTAACAACTTAATATTACTTTAGTTATGAAATTAAATGAGTTACCATGGAACTAGAAGAAAGGTGATAGCATCATAATCCCTATATGTATAATTGTTTTCACCCCCACTAAGTTTTTTGTTGCATTTTGGACAACTTGGATATCACCAGCCATTGGAAAAATCAAAGTTAATAATCAAAGCTTGACAAGTGAATCTTAGATGCTGGTAATAGAAAGAAAATACATGTTACTGGGGTGTGGTTAAATGAAATTAAAAAAACTAATTATACGAAGAAGGTAAAGCATGTCATCAAAGCTAATAATAAAAGGGTTTTAAAAATAACCTTATACTCATAAGGATTCATGCAAAGAATCTCATGTGTTGTTTTCCTATTTTCTTTCATTTGTTCCTCTATTAATAAAACAATATTTGATAATGAAGGGAGTTGTTGTATTTCAATAGGTAGTTGTGCAAAGCTGCATGTATAATTAATTCAAAAAGATGGTGAAAAAATAATTAGTTAGAAAAAAAATTGATAATGGTAAAGCATAAAAGAGATGGTTGATGTTGGAATAACTTACAAATGTTTATATGCTAAGCATTCTAGTATGTCTAGACTGAAGTATCAAAGAGAGGCAGTTGTACTATTAAGGTTTGGTTTTCCTTGTGAACAAAATAGTTTTTTATAATAAAATAAAAGGGGAATTATTTGGATCAGAATGAAAATTAAAATCTTAAAGTTTTTATTTATAGAAAAAAATTAAATGGAAGTTAAAATTACCCCTAAATTCTGTGACACGAAATCCAGCAAATGTAATGATAACTGGAGATGGTAGGTTATGAAGAGTGAGTTCATCAAAATCTTTGGCACTATCACCCTATAGAGTTATGTGAAACTCCTCACCACTTTGAAAGAAAACACAAAACAAATTTAATTAATAAGCTTGATAAAAGTAAGGTAATTTGTATTTAATTTTTTTAACTCATTGAATGTTCTCAAGCATGAATTCTCTTTTATTTTCAAGCGTCTATCCACAAACTATAACTTGTTCGAGTGACTGCAATGCTTTAAGTCTTCCAAGGATATCTTAAAAAATAGAAATAAATGTTTTTAAGTGATGTTATCAAGTTGAGTTTAATAATAGAAATGTTTTATAATAGGCCAAATGAATGAAATAGATTGTAAACCTGTAAAAATTCTAGAGCCTCTTGACTTAGTCAAAATATGCGTATAGTCAATAAAATTAAAGTATTATCTAAGAACGTGAGGTGTAATAGCTTCAATGCTTGTAATTTTTGTGTTAGATTTGAGATCAATTACAGCATCATGGGCAACAACTATGTTTACTGCTCTATTTTCATAAGTATAGAATCCTTTGATTTCATAGTGATTTCCTTCAATAATTATTGTTGTAAATATTGAAAGATCTCTTATTTTAACTAAAGCTTGAATAACTCCACTCTCTATATAAAAAAGATTAATGTTGGAATGAAAAAAATAATTGTTCACCATGCTAACAACCAAATGCATTAGAACTTTTAATGCAATATGCAATAAGGTTTTGTAAATTATTTAAAGAAGAGTTTTGATGACATTGGAAGTCATGTATTGTTACCACCGGAACATTAAGTTAAAAGATTGGTTTTAATAATGAATTTAAGAGATTTTATGTCTTACTACTTCTTAGAATATGTAAATTGGTTGTTACGTATATGGTTTATTAATTTGAAGAAAGATTTTCTAAGTTAACAAACGTGTCTTGAGGTGAAGGTAAAACATTATTTCTAGAGGATACACATATATTATAATTAATTATTATAGACCATTATATAAATGAAAGCTATATATAAAAGATGCATAGAATAAAAGATAAATGTACTTCTTGGTTGCTTCTCAATGCCTGTGTATAATTGGGTGTAATATACCTGGTAAACCGTGGCTCTAGTATGGAATTATAACTGAAATTTTAATGATGAATTGGTGTAGTTAACAGTGAATGCATCATAAAATTTCTCAAACTCTTATATTAAATCATGTTAAGTCATAGAATATATGAAATTTGCCTGATTTGTATAAAATTTTCTATAAATTATATAAAGTAAATGCAATGTCTAGGGCTTGTCTGGGTTTTTAAGCATGTAGAAAACAAAGTTGATTGTAAATTATAAATGGATGCTAAAAATTTGTTATGTTAATTTTTTTTTACAATTTCAATATTGAAAAAGTTTTTTTCATAAGTTGAATAACCAATTATTGGTTTAGTAATGAACTTAACTATAACACTATAGTAACGAAACCCATCTAAACTCACCAACTTAGCTAACACAAACATTTCTTCTCCTGAGAAGAACCACAGATAAAAAAAAAATTGTTCAAAGATATTAAAGCTGCACACAAAGCCATTAAAACTTGCACAGCCGTGTTACACTAACAAAGAAATGCTCACACTCCCCTAAGAAAGGACTATCTAAGCAAATCTCTAGATAGCCTCACATTGCACCAGAAGACCATAAATAAGCAAATCAGAACATTGATGGTTTTGGGTTAGGAGATAGAAGGGCTACATGGTGGTGTTTGCAAAGTGGATCTAAAACTATGAACTTGTTGTTTGGTTTATCTTTAAGGCATTCTCTAGTGCAAAAGGAAAGAAATGGGAAAGCTGTAACCTTTTGAAAAAAGACAGGGAGAAATATGGTAGGGAGTTTGCCACGTAGCCACCAAAACTAACAAAAAAAAAAAGCCTAGAACTTATCGCAAGAATGAATAAAACTCTCCCCGATAAATACTTTAAATCCATAGTAAAAACAACACAGGAATCCACAATGATTTTAGACATAATATACAGGGACTCACTGAACAGTTTTAGTTTTTTTTAATGTTTACAAAAGAAATTTCATTTTGGTGTTTGTACCCTTTGTTTTTTTGAAAAAAGTAGATAGGAATCAAGAATGAATAAAGTGATTTTTCTACTTGTCGTGCTATTGATCTAGTGATACAGGTCATGAATTTTAAGTATTAATATTGTTAAAGATCTTTTTTCCCTCATTTTTTATTATTTTATCTTTCTATGTTATTTAAAAAAAAATTATTTTTAGTTTATTTATATCAATTTACTCAGTCTTATAATTTAGATAATGAGTTTCGTA